GAAAGGGACGTGCACAGAAGCTGCCTGAGGGAGAGATGAAAGCCGAACACTGGCGGGGTGGCCCTCTGGACTTTACCCATTTTGCGTACTATTATTCACATAAAATTTTATTTGAACGGGGGAAGTATCTCTCACTGATTAAAAAAGAAGACTGAGAACAACTCTAGCATCACAGTGTAGCGAGGGGGAGGGTGAAACGGAGCATTCCTCTGCTCACTCTATTTTAAATAGGCATAACAGCAAGGCAGGGACACACTGGTGAGAATGAAGCATTCTGTTGCCTTTGCAAGAACTCTGGACTTAGAAGCACTTGCTGTCAGTTCAAATGGACTACCTGGTTTAAGAGAAGTTTGAAAAAAGGAAATCTATGAATTCATAAGTAAGTCTTCGGGGACACCAGATATGTCAGTCCATAATCATTCCAGAAGCATGCCACCAGTCTTTGTGTAAGTGGCAGAAGACAAAAAATAGGTTATTTTTAATTCCTTAATACTAAACTTCCCATGATCCAACAAAGTTACTCTAATTTCCCCACAGTCATGGGAAATAAGCTTGTTACCATTCTTAAATAACAGAGTGATTTATCTGAACCATCTTCTCAAAAGATGACCTTTTTAAAGCCATCTCTTAGTCAGGATTCGGCCAAGGCATTTTTGTGTTGTGTTTTTATAGCAGGTTTTACCACTTCATGGCTTAATCCTTACTGCTTTGAAAGTTCTACAAGTATTTTCCTTGTTATGAGGTATAGCTGAGCTTGAACCAGCATGCTGAGCATTCCGTACATTAAAAATTCAGTCTTAGCTGACCTTTTCTACAAGAGCAAGACTTCTAATTGTTGACTTAAACTTACAACTCCAATTAAAAATTTTAATAAATTCTGCTCATATAGATTCTCAATTGTCACCAAGCCCCCCCCCCCAAAGGGACGGCTCTGTAAGACGTTCAAGCAGCACGGATTGCCACAAGTTTTTAAATTGAACATAGAGGATTCAGTAAAAGGAAGGACAAAAGAATAGGCAGCAGGGCAAAAGCCAGCAATTATCTGTCTGCAAAAATAACCTCAGAGGAGAGAGTAACGAGACTTTTCTAAAACAGAACACTGGGGAAAGCAACCGGTTCATAAACTTTCCTTTTTAAACTGAAACAGGCAACTTTAAACTAGGCATGCACGACTTCAACTAGCCCCCACTGGCACACTTTCCACACACAATTTCTTCTGCTGGGGTGTGGCTAGCTTCTTTAACAGTGGAGGCCATTTGGGATCCTTGGGAGTTAGCTAACATATAAATACAAAACATTACCATGAGTTATAAAGCATTCACCTGAGCTCTCACTAGCCAAACAACCCACAGGAACACTATAGTAACCCGAGTTCCAACCTCAGGCCTGAGACCCAGCCAGACATGTACTGTGGCTCACTGCATGTGGCAGAGTGCCTTGATTTACCTAATTGGAAACTAGGGCATTCTTGAGGGAATGTAAATAAAATGGGTGAACCATTAGTATTGTTCTATAATACTACAAAAGCCAGCAAGGAGGTCTTCACACTTACAGCTCATCTTTAGAAAAGCCTACAACCAAGTTGTAAGAAAAGTACCACAGAAAACACAAGTGTCTACCTTTACTGGAGAGAATCAGGGTGCACAGGATGTCTCTTTAATTCTAAGGGCTGCAAGAGCTTGAGCCTTCTAGGTTAGGGGCATGCTTTTGAGTTAAACCATAAAATGCTGCTGATTTTTATGACAGTCTTCTCAGTAAAGTCTACCAGAGTTTTTTCATGCTTTCTTCTTACTTTCCAAATGTATTTCTGCAACACTTTTGAAAGTCTAGAGATTTCAGAATTATCTCTAGTTGCCATCTTGGAACTAAGATAAATATCAGTAAACTAAGGCCATGTCTGAGTATAGCTCAGAAAACCAAAGGCAGAGGAAGCTAAATGCACCCATATGGAGCTGAGGGGACCCCAAAATGAAATGGTGTTAACACACATTCGCATTTTACAATTAGAATAAAAATATGCATAGCAGATCAATATTGTTACGTTACAGTTGCTCAGATTTTTATGTGACTTCCTGTATGAACATGCACAACCCAAGTAATCATGTTGATATGTCTAACCCAATTTGAGAACCTGATGTGAGAAGAGCCTCCCTCTTCCACTGAAGCAGCACATGGATTCTCACTTGTGCTAACCCCTGAACCAGATGTCAAAGGTAGGGCATCACCAAAATGCAGGTATGAGAGTATTAAGCCACCAAAAGACTGAGCACAATCATCCTTCCCTTCTCTTTCTATTTAATGGGATCAGGTCAACAAAACCACCAAAGTTGCCATGGAACCGTGGCTGATCCTAGGCAGGATATGGATGGGCTTCTCTTACCAAAGGCTCCATCATCCAGGTTAAAAATGCCAACATGCAGGCAATAAGCAGGCTCTCCATCCTTGTATGAGGCTACCTCAAGTCTCCAAATGTAGAATGTATAATCAACAGTGAGACACCTAAGAAAAGTGCAGTATCTGCTCCAGATCTAAACTACCATCTCTTACAAAACCCAAGCAGGAAAAAGTTTGTAAGTTTATGTGATGCTAAGAGCAGGCCAAATTCTGTAAATTTAACTGTAAGGAAACTATTTACATGGGGGTGGGGGAAGGGATGACAGCAACATTTCTCAAAGTCTGAATCTCTTAGGCAAGTAAACGAAAGATGAAATTTCATGGAATGACACCACAAAGTTTGACATTCTTTTTAACTAATTCCTTTGGAAACTCAGGTTGAATAATTAGCTTATTAGAAAAGTCATGGGTATCTTGTTGCAAACTATAAAATACCTTCTAATCTCATTAAATACAAATTTCAAATATTTTTCGTACCTTCATATTTTACACTTTAAGTTATCTCATTAAGATTTAAGTGGGCTATTAAAAATACCTGTAAGATTTAATGGTGCTATTCTTATACTAAAATGTATTGTTCCTCATCTCTAATCTCTAATTCATTTGTATTTAATATTGATAGCAACTTCCAGCTCTTAAAAAGCAGACCATTTGTGTACACCCCCATCCTAATTAATGGAATCAATTTGCCAAAGTCTTTTAAAACATACCCAAGTTGTTATTTATACATGGTTCTCAAAAGAAAATGACACAATAAATGCTGGCATTTTTATGTCTTCTCTACCCAAGTACTGATCCCTCTCTGCTCTTGTATACTGAACATCTCTATCTTCTTATTAAATTGTAACATTCACTATTAAATGTGTAGCCAGTAAGTGTACATATCTTGATTTATGAAAAGCTTGCTGAATATTTACATTTTCAAAATACTGGCAAATAGTTTGATATTTTCAAAATTCCTAAGAAGTTACAAGGAAGTCAGGATTGAACACATAAGCATATCTTATAGAATTATGCTTTTAGTAATCACATAAATAATAGAGACATGCATGTATGTTATAAGGAAAACCAAAAGTCCTTTTAAACTTGATAAAAGCCTACTGGTTAGTTATATGGTAGTAAGTACATGTGCGTGAAAAGACCTGCTCTGATCAAAGAACCTTAACATTTTTAGAAGTTTAGCAACTCTTGAGTTTGGGTCATCAAAATAACAGTAATTGAGAACTTACTTGAAACTTAATCTGTTCAACATGGTGATGTTTTATTTTTAACATAAATAATATTAGAACTTTTCCTGCACTCTGGTTTAAGGGAAAAAAAGAGAAATTTAAGTAAAAACAAAGGTACAGTGGGTATGTTCAAAAATTATGATCTCCAGGACAGGCAGGGCCAGCCAGACTCAGAGACTCACAGCCCCATCTCCCATATTCTCTGCACCAGACTGTGAGGACCAAAACCAAAGCTTTAGTTATAGTTCACTGTACAGCAGCCTCTATGTGAGGTAGTCTTAGGAAATTTTTCAACAAGGGTCAAGATAAAGGAGGGATTTTTACTTGTTTAGTCAAGCAGGGTACCCACTCCCCACCCTCACGTTGAGGCTTTTACTGTAACGTGCCCTCACAGAACCCCAAGTCCAGCCTTCAAGCCCAATTGTTTCACCTTTTTTTTTTTTTGAGTGTCAAAACCAGGAAATCTTTGAAACTCTGAAGAATACATGCTTTCTAAGAGCTCACAGCAAGTTTTCCTGTGGGGGGGAAAATGGCTATTACCACTAAGGACATCAGTTAACACTCTATCTTATGTATAATTTGCTAAATCAAACAAAAGCACCTTCACAGATTTCACCTCAAACACGAAGTTGATTTCAAATTATTAATTTTAAACACTTGTGTTAACTAACTGTATCAAAGGTACCAAGTACAGGTCAAAATTACACCTATTTAACAAACATTAAACAGTACTTAAAATTACAAATAATGCAATTTAGATTATATATCTGGTCTTTGCAATTACTAAAAATCGTAAAAGCAATACAATTTAGTCTCGAATGGAATACTTGACCCAAACTGCCTCCTTTTCACTCACCAAAATATTACTTGGTAGCAAATGTCCAATGAAAATTCTCCCTCTAGTACCAACTGGTTAACCATGTATCAAATACACCCAGTTAGTTTCCCACAAATTTATCTTGGTGTATCTACATAAAATACTTGTCTAAGTATCAACAGCCACTGTTAACCTTTGGTAGCAAGCACATATTCATGGAAAAACCTGTTCTGATCAGAGAATCTTTTCAGGGTTTCAGAAGCTCAGCAACTCTTGATTCTGGGTCACCCAAGAGTAAATGAATATACTTTATACACAAGAGTGCAGGATGCAAATGATTAAAACAACATTAGCAACTTTAACAATTTTCTCTTAAAGAAGCTGGAAGTCATTTCTCTGTTCAGAACCCACAACTGCAACCAGCTCTAACCAGTTCCTTGAGGAATGCGGCTAGGCTGAAATTTTGGAAGTGTTGGTTGGCTTTGGTGGTGACCAAGGAGGAAGCAGTCTCTGGCTTCCCTGTTGCTGCAGTTCCCACCCTCCAAAATAAATATACCCACCGGTGTGATTTGACAATGTGGTCCAAAGAGCAAGGCAGGAACGGAGTCCAGATCCTCAAAATGGCAGTACAGGGCACAGCCACTAGGCCACCTATCAGTTCAGTACAAAAAGTACAACCCTGTGCATCATGGTGCAAAAGCTGGGGCCTAGGTTTCGCATTGTGCATCTCACACCTAGGGAAATAACAAGAGGAGTAAAATCTATAGAAGTCAACTCACCCTAAGAAGGTGGGGCTCAGAGACTGCTGTACACACTTAGGCCAAGGTGGCCGGCTGCGAGATAATGAATGGCAAGTACAAGTCCCAAGTTGGAAGGAAACACATTTCCAAACAACTCTGTTGAGCTTGACAATGAAGAACCCAACATGGTCTTGATGTTTACCAACACGGATGTGCAAACCGTGACACCTACGAAAGTCTCTACCCCACTATACCTACCATCCCTCAAGGATGATTTTAACTCTCTCCAAGAGTTGGAAAGATTTGGGCCACAAGGAAGGGAAGTTAGTGGCCATACCTCACATCCCCCACTCTCAAGTTTTAACCCCCCCACTTTACCATCGACCTTGGAAGGTGGTGACAGGTTCAAAGCCTAAGTGGAACAAGCCCAGAGGGGGAAATCTGTGTACCAACGCTGTGCCAAGGTGATACAGCAAGAACGGATGTGGACTGTCTCAGGGTCAAGAGTTTAAGAAAAAAGTAGAAAGAACTTCTAAACTGCAGGATGGGTTAAGAGAAATAAAATCACTGCTCTTGACTCACTTAATCCTTCGCCATGTTGCTGTCAGCACACCAACTAAGAGTGCGAGTGTCTGGCTGGGTCCATTTTCCATGGTCTGTAGAAGGCGCTGTGAAGCACATCCTGTCCTAGCTCTGGGGCCCTTCCCCCCTCTGCAGCCTTACCCAGTGCGGGGAATGCGCCCCCTACTGACTCCAACACTCATCGCCTTTAGCCGACTTGGCTGCGGTGCATTTTGGGTGGGGGCTGGTATTTTCTTCATGGCCATAAACCAGAAGCAACAATGCAGATTTATAAAGAAACTGTATCAAGCGACCCAGGAGTTTGTTTGTTTTCTATTTGGAAGGTTCAAGACACTGGCATGAGCAGCACCAGGGATAGGAATTGGGATGTGGATGGACAGCATTAAAATGGCAAACACAGGAAACAGTTTGGTTCTTTTTCCCTCCTGAGCCTTTGTCTGAGAAATGGGGTTATGTCAAGAATTGTTCCGAGGAACCAGTGAATGCAAGAACATCAAGAGGACTCAGTGTGAGCACGTATGTGGCAGGAAAAGAATATCAGACCTTAGCTCCTGGTCTTGGGCAAGAGGAAGAGAAGCAATCGCGCCTTTTCCAGGCAGACAGACACCCAGGTTGGGGGGGAGGGGAGGCAGCCCAGGAGGGCCAAGAGGTGAATAAAGGGGGGGCTCAAAGTACTACTCCCTATTCACTGCGTTCAAAAGGAATCTTTTCGCAGCTTTCTGGCCTGCCATTTTTCACCATCTTCCAGCCAAGTTGGGGCTCAGACTGCTGGCAAGAGGTTGTGCCGACCAGGCAGCTGCGAGTGAGAAAAGGGGGTGGTGGTGGGCCCCGCGGTCAGGACAGGGGCAGAGCTGGCGTGCTGTAGAGGAAGGCTGGCACCGGGAGGCAGAGACTTTTCACTCCGGGCCATGCCTGCTCCCCGCCCCCCCTCCGCCCCCTCCCCCAGCCAAGGGTGGGTAGACCCGGCAGCAGGCTGGCCCCAGGCCCGAGGGGTGTGCGTGGGGGGCTCGTTTTCGGGGGGGGGCGGAGGAAGGGATTAG